AAGTTGGAGATGAGACGAGAAGGACAGGAACCAAGTGTCGCAATCGAGTCCGTGTTCAATATAAAGCTTTGCGTCTTACCAACTTAATCTGTTTGTGTAGTGACACGTTGTATATACTTGACTTGTCGTGTCAGTATTAGGGGTGGGTATTGCAGAGAATTTTCATATTGCGATATATTGCGATGCGAAAGCATATATTGCGATATGTATTGCAATATATTGCAAGAAGTACTTTTAAACAATAGACTACTTATAATCGAGTTAATGCTTGGTTTATAAAGCATGAACACAACAAAATCACTATACTTGATTAAGCTTTAATAAAAACTCTTAATCATGACAAAATAAAAATGTAAATAGTATTTGGCACAAATGAAACAAGGAAATATCCGAAGATTTCCGAGTGTTACGAAGTTTTCCGAATGCAAGTCAAAATACCAGTTTTCGATCAGCGTATCGCAATGCGTATCGTTTTCATGTCTGAACTGGTAAATACCGGTAAACCGGTTATATCGCGCAGCCCTCGTCAGCATTCAATAGATTTGATTTACTAAGCAATTCTCAATAGTCCATTAATACTATAAGCCATTACTTGTTCGAGTCTCTGTAGGTCGACATGAGTGAATTAGCGTTAGCTGCGATCTATGTGTAATAAGGTTTATCCATACACTCTGAGCCTCATTTCAGATGGCACGTTTTTATTGATAACAACGTTTTTATATTCTTTACACGACGTTTCTGAACAAATCCTTGCTCCTTCATCAGGTGAGAAAAAAGAAGCTGTTATCCATAAGAGCGTGTCATGTATTCATGTTAGTCCAACTTCTAAATGTCTTTCAAGAACCTCATTTTGGGATGAACTTATAATAAGAGATTGTAAAATGTAAGGGCTAAGTCCAATCTGATTAAAGATAAGTGTTGACGACATACGTCTCAAGGTCGTTTATGTCAGTAAAGGTAACATCAAAGAACAGTTTTTACTCATCCCCAGTTTTTTTCTCGGTTAGTCCTCCCTAATTTTGACATTTTCAAGAAAGGTCGAATATTGTCTTGTGTTCTAATATTACACGAACATCAAGACATTGTCGTTCTCTAGTACAAGGGGCGGTGGGGTAGCCCAGTGGTTAAAGCGTTGGCTCGTCACGCCGAAGACCCGGGTTCGAATCCCCACATGGGTACAATGTGTGAAGCCCATTTCTGGTGTCCCCCGCCGTGATGTTGGTGGAATATTGCTAAAAGCGGCGTAAAACCAAACTCAGTCAGTCAGTCAGTCTCTAGTACAACCACCACTTACCGCCTTGTCAGTAATATACCGAGACATCCTCACCATGGCACACTTCTGGGATATGGTACAAGACGCCATACACCGCTGACAACATCCTTTGAACTTATGGATATCAACGTCTTATTACATGGAATTCAACATCGGGGAGTATATTCCTGTTCCTTCTTCCGGTTATGAAACCCTGGATGAAGAAAGCACGATGCGCACACGCACGCACGCACGCACGCTCGCATGCACAGAAGGGATACGTTATGAAAGGTGGATCCTTCACGAGGGAAGACAACAGGTAATTCGTGCCAATTCGTTATGCCATTTAAAAAATGCAGGCCAGGGGTAAATTAATGACAGTGTGTGAGTGAGTATGGTTTTACGCTGCTTTTAGCAATATTCCAGCAATATCACGGCGCGGGACACCAGAAATGGGGTTCACACATTGTACCCATATGGGGAATCGAACCGGGTCTTTGACTTTAACGGCTTTAACCACTAGCCTAACCAACGGGCCTGACCCTTGAACAGTCAAAATGGACGCCGATTTAAGAATCTCGGGATAGCGCTGAACATGCTGACGATTAAAACACATTCTTGGTGCTCCACGTGGTACTGCTGGAGCGAAAGGTCCATATTTATGAGTTAAAAAGCCCGGTTCTCCCAGATTTCAGTGGTGAACTTTGAAGCCTTGCATCAATTGAGCCTTTTTGCCACATCAGCATCAAATATTTTTGAAGCGCTGCTAATTAGCTCTCGCTCGATCGCTAGCTGACTCACTCACGTACGCACGTCCGCACGTCCGCACGCACGAATGCACGCACTAAGACACATGCGTTGATAATGGTTTACATTTTGCCCTCCGCCTTTACATAACTGACCTGTTTCAAAGCAGTGGTATACTTGACCTCAATCATTCGAAATGTCCTGTTTGTTTAAGTATTACTGAACGGGATAATGCGTAACTCGATATGCACCGTCGTTTGGGACCAACCTTTGTCAATTAGAAATCACTTCACTATTATACCCCACGTCCTGTTTATGACAAACAGACAAGTTTTTTGCGTTAAGTGTTTGTAATATGACTTTATTCGTTCGTCAGTTTATAAGCTGTTGAATTACTTTCGGACGTGCACAAGGTGAAGGTCATATTTTTAATAAAAGCCCAAAGATTCCTACTTGTCATTCACTTCGCTCGCAGTCAGCAAAATGATGAAACTTCTCGTCTGCTCCGCTTGGGTCGTCTGCTTGGGACTGACTGTCTCTGCGGTGAACTTCCAACGGACAGTCATCGCAATCGGAAGCCCCACAGTACCTGGCGAGTACCTGTTTCTACAGGGTGGTGACAGGGCAGGGTCCCCGATCCCCATCCTACATAACATGACTGTGGGGAACGCTCGTTCTGTCTATGCGCAGACGTCTTCCGGTGATCGTTTCCTCAACTGGAAAGGGAGCGAACCTGATCAGGGTGTCTACATCGATAGCCAAGGCCGAGAAACGCAGCCGGTTGGAACTCCTATGATCTGGACAACAAATGACAGGTGAGGTCTCCTCTGATTTATTTCGTCATTGACAAGGGACAGACATCAATTCCTCAGCCTAACTCTCCTACGATCTATGATGGTCGGATTGAGTCTGAAATAAGCCCAGATACTGTTTGTAGGTCTGTTGGTACCCATTATCGTTGTTTCCACGAAAGTAGAATATGCGTAACCGTCATAAACTACACTAACTGCATTTTACTGGTTCAAACTCTATTCTGTCTAATGTGATCAAGTCTCAGATCAAAATGACATGGAAACCGTTCTTGTGAAAAGTGTACTTGCCATTCATGCTTTCGCCAAAGACGATTCGACGATTCGATTGTGGAACAATCTGTCTTCAGAAGTAAAATATAGTACTTCATTATCAAAATTAAAATCGAGCATAAAAATATCCAATGACTTAGCGCCACTGTACTTTTATTACGCTTCTTATACTGTACTAGAAAAAATCAACATACTACATAAGCAAAGGCGTCATATTGCCGGCAGCTTAAGTTACTATCTGTTGGGCTAATTACAGATCCGTCTTGCGCATGGGGTAACCCTTTCGGAAATACTCACCATTATGTTTTAGCATTTATGATACAATCAGCATAGAACATGACATGTTAAAGCTATTCAAGATGTTTGTGATTGTAATTCTGTGATTACATTATCTGTTCTTTTAAACGGCATCGCTTATCTGACTAAACAAAAAAAATGAAATTATATTAAAAATGTACATCTGCATGTATGAAAATCAGAACGACTCCAGTAGGTTTCTTCCTCTGTACCTTTTGTATTATAATATTTGCCCTTAACTGTCAATCATCCGCTGTGTCTTTTCTAATAGTTGCTTGTGATTTGTTATTGTAAATATTCTAGGAGAATTGCAAGAACTTATCCCCGATGCTTTTCATTTGTCGGGCCGGTGGGGTAGCCTAGTGGTTGAAGCGTTCGCTAATCACGGTGAAGATCCAGGTTCGATTTCCCACATGGTTACAATGTATGAAGCCCATTTCTGGTGTCCCCCGTCGTGATATTGCTGGAATATTGCTAAAAGCGGCGTAAAACTGAACTCACTCGCTCATTTTGTGAAAACAATATGTTGAACGTAGACGCAACAAGGCCTCTGTGGACGCTGACGGACATGGCTACACTGACCTCAACACCCAGGGGGAGCATCTGTGGCTGGCAGACATCTACATGGACTGCGACAAAACTAGCAACGGCTGGTTTGACTTCAAGGTACTGTCCCAAACCATTGCATGCACATTTAGTCAAATAGAAAATAACAATTCATTAAAAAGCAAAACAAGATACAGTATATAGATTAATTTCTGGTATTGGTATTTCAATACAAAATGTAGTCTGTCATACAGACCCTGAAGCAAATATATCCAAGAAAGCTCACGCAAGTCTAGAAAATGTGGCAAGTCTAGATTTCCAGAAAATGAAGATAAGTATCAGGGCTACTTTTCATTATATTGTATTGTTTTTTACTATGAATATTTCTGTAAAATATGTTCATTTCAGAGACAAGTTGTTAGTCAATATAGACAAAATGGTACTTAAACGTTTCATATTTTCTATTTTAATAAATGAAAGAATATTATTAGTTCACTGTTTAAAGAGTCAGCTCGTCACGTCCCATGTTCTGCCCCTCACTCATACAGTACGTGATTGTTGTTTCCGTGTTTGTTTGTTGTTTGGCGGCGATGGGGTAGCCAAGTGGTTAAAGCGTTGGCCTGTCACGCCGAAAACCCAGGTTCGAATCCCCACATGGGTACAGTCCAACTTCTAAATGTCTTTCAAGAACCTCATTTTGATGAACTTATAATAAGAGATTGTAAAATGTAAGGGCTAAGTCCAATCTGATTAAAGATAAGTGTTGACGACATACGTCTCAAGGTCGTTTATGTCAGTAAAGGTAACATCAAAGAACAGTTTTTACTCATCCCCAGTTTTTTTCTCGGTTAGTCCTCCCTAATTTTGACATTTTCAAGAAAGGTCGAATATTGTCTTGTGTTCTAATATTACACGAACATCAAGACATTGTCGTTCTCTAGTACAAGGGGCGGTGGGGTAGCCCAGTGGTTAAAGCGTTGGCCTGTCACGCCGAAAACCCAGGTTCGAATCCCCACATGGGTACAGTGTGTGAAGCCCATTTCCTGTGTCCCCCGCCGTGATGTTGCTGGAATATTGCTAAAAGCGGCGTAAAACCAAACTCAGTCAGTCAGTTGTTTGCTGTTTAAACCAAACACAGCAATTGCCCAGCTATATGGCGGCGGTCTGTAAATAATCCAGTCTGGACCAGACAATCCTGTGATTTACACCATGAGCATTGATCTCGCAATTGGGATACGATGACATGTGTCAGCCATGTGAACGAGTCTAACCAGCCGATCCCGTTAGTCGTCTAAGACAAGCATGGGTTGCTGAAGTCCAATTCCAACTCGGATCTTCGCAGATTGTCAGCTTATGCGCTATTTGCGCCTTGCTAATTGATGTTTGTTAACATGCTTGTATTGTACACGTATCCTTCCAGGCCTACATGCTGGATCTCCGTGCTGGAACACAAGACGTTGGATGGGAGGGCGACTTCATCAACCAAGAGTTCTGTATTGTCGACGGATCCATGTGGGGCACCCAGAGCAGCCTCCAGTGGGACCCCCGCAACCATCACGGACGCTGTGGGGCCTACAATTTCGTCCTGTGGTCCAGAAACCTTTGCGTCGCCAACCAGCTCAGTCACCACCTATTGGCCTTCGAAGATGAATGGACGGAAGACGGAGAACCCACGGCCGAGTAGATATTGTTACAACACAGCAGTCTCTGTGTAGGGGAGGGTCTTCATTGAAGGATTTTGTATTTTTGGAAGTTCTTTCTATTTAATAAATCGGCTCCATTTCTAGTTGAGCGTTAAGTGTCTTATTACAAGTCGTTGCGATTGGTTTCCACGTCATGAATACTATAACAGACGTTGCTTTATGTTGCTGGCATTGAGTGTGGAGTTTTAGGTGTGTTTCTACGACAAATTATGATGAAGTTACATCACCAATGTTTCCATTAAGATGACCCTATCTCACCTTGCCCTCGATGCTGTTATTAAGATGAACCTACCTCGCCTTGCCCCCGATGCTTTTATTAAGATGAACCTATCTCACCTTGCCCTCAATTTTGTTATTTAGACGAACCTATCTCACCCGACCCTCGACGCTGTTATTAAGATGAACCTATCTTACCTTGCCCTCAATGTTGTTATTAAGACGTACCTACCTCACCCGACCCTGTTATTAAGATGAACCTATCTCACCTTGCCTTCAATGTTGTTATTAAGACGAACCTATCTCACCCGACCCTCGACGCTGTTATTAAGACGAACCTATCTCACCTTGCCCTAAATGTCGTTATTAAGATGAACCTATCTCACCTTGCCCTCGATGCTGTTATTAAGATGAACCTATCTCACCCGACCCTCGACGCTGTTATTAAGATGATACTCCCCGTACACTGAATGTTCATATACTAGGCACAAAAAATAAAGGTACCATATGTTACATTACGCAAGTAAGACAAGCACCATACCCAAAGGAATTTATTCGTATATATTTGTATAGCTGATCAGGCGTCATGTGTATACAGTATATACTCTCCCTTTTAAGACTCATAGGTGATATGGATGTATGAAATTTCAAATATTTTTCAAAATTCGTTGATTGCTATAATATTGCCACTATAATGCTGGTTTGTGTACGTGGAACGAATGCACAGCGCAAAAAAGCATCTTTGGAAACGTTAATGCTCGTTTATGTTCGAAAGTGTGTACTTGCATTAAACTATCATGGGAAAAAGTAGCTCGCAATATGCACGAGCAGTTTTGGGGAATCGTCAGCAGGGACATTGCTTGCATAAGGTCGTTTTGCTTTTAGACGGTCATTGGTATTTTTTAGTTAAATTAAAGAATATCGTTATGTCGCAACTCACTGCTGTAAATGGAAACATTACCACCTGACGTCTGGATGCTGGGGAGTCTCACTCTGCCGTTGCAGTCACCTGAATGTTCACTAGAATACCATCAGTCGTTTATAGGTACGATATCAACAAACCAATTCTGTGCAAGATCGACCTCGATGTGGTAGACCCCGGATTACCACTGCAGCGCAGGATAGGTACATCCGGGTACTTCATTTGCGGGATCGAACTGTCACAGCAACTGCTAGCAGATTAAATTCGTGAAACTACATTCTGTCCGTTTCTTTCCTGTGAGAGTATAAATCAACGAAAGGCAGCCCATAACACATTCAAGTGTTTACATTCTAGTTCTCTATGCCATTTCCTTTGTACACACAAAACTATCTAATTTTACATCAACAACACAATCTTATCTACGGATAAAGCAGTACTGCAAGGAGGTGGGATTAAGCTTGAATGCACAATGCCACTTAGAAAGTGGTCAAATCTTTCATATTTTATATGTGGGATTACACTTTCTCAGGAGGTGAGGTCGGGTGAAATTGGGTTTAACGTCGTGCTTGAGAATATGTCGCTCATATGACGACGTGCATGTGTGTGTATGTGTATGTGCGGCTGCTTGTACTAGCCCAGACTTAAGCTGGTTTTATAGTGCTAGCCCACTCAGATACCATGCTGCAGTGAAGCATGAATACCCCACTCAGATACATTATACTGACTCCGAGCCGACCAGTCCTTGTTGTACCCATTAATGCCGAGCGTAAGGCAGGGACCAACAAGTACCATATTTTAACGTCTTTTGACATGACGCGGTCGGGGATCGAACCCGCGACCTTCCGCTCTCCGGGCGGACGCTCTAACCACTACACCACGGAGGCGGTCACTTTCTCAGGAAAGTACAGATTCTTGTACTTTTGTTAGGTTGAGTCCCATTCCGGACAATGCCACTAGAATGATAGCCACACCTCGCAAGCATTGTTGACCAGACCAACCTCAGAAGGAAAGGATAGAGGCACAGTTTACCTAATGACTCTCAACCGAAACTGGGCGTTCTTGTAAGAGCTCGTTTGGAGAAATTCAGGCCCACGAAGGTTATAACAACTTCATATTCATTTCAGTTTCACGATTCGCCGTCGCCGACAAACATATTATCTTGCTTCCTCATATTCATATCCGCAGGGTTGCTGTGAAACACCGAAATTCTCCAAATCTGGCAACGTTCAACTGACGCCTGAACATTATTCTCATACTGTTTAAATGGCTGAAACCGAAACCTTGCTTTGAGTATATCACTTGTGGAGTCTCTTCTACACATCACATCATCCTAATCATTAGCTTTAATTCCGACACGTGAACTATGCGTGGTGTTTCAGAGTGTGACTAAGTATTCATGAAATTGAGGAAACATTAATGTAAAGCTTTGTTGAAATAAGACAGTTATCACTTGAATTACGGAAGATGGAGATAATTGAGTTTCACCCTCTTCTGACTGACTATATAACCAACACAGACTACGCTTCAGCATCAGTGTCACTGGCTGATGTACGATGTCTGCGACAGACGTTGCTGCCGTGCTTGTAGTCGCATGTTCCTTTGGTCTTCTGCTGGTGGGAGTTGTGGGTAAGTAATCTAAACTTCGGTTATAACGAAATCGAAGGGATCACAAATATTAGTTCGTTACAACCGCAGTTCATTATAAGCATTATCGACTAAAGATTTACACCAAGTGGCCGGGACAAGAAACAGTTTTTTTTGTGGTTTAACGCCGCACGCGGCAGTATTCACATTCTTGTCGTGAGTGAGTGAATGAGTTTAGTTTTACGCCGCACTCAGCAATATTCCAGCTATATGGCGGCGGTCTGTAAATAATCGAGTCTGGACCAGACAATCCAGTGGTCAACAGCATGAGCATCGATCATCGCAATTGGGAACCGATGACATGTGTCAACCAAGTCAGCGAGCCTGACCACCAAATGCCGTTAGTCGCCTCTTACGACAAGCATTGGTTACTGAAGGCCAATATTCTAACCCGGACATTCACGGGTCTTTCTAAACTAAGAGAAAGTATAGGTCGAGTTTGACTATCCATATAAACGACACAACTCAAAATGTTGATTACAAGTATAGTTAAATGGAGAATGGTTACAGATGACCATTCAAGCACATTATGAAGGATGTTCTGACAACACATATTGTATGAGCGATAGTCAACAAGCGTGGATTAGAACATATTGGTTGTCAGTGATATCAGAACCCTCACACGCGATTGTCTAGCTCTATATAAGTTCATCTGAGACACAATGGAGGTCTCAGTTACGTGTATGATCCCCACGTGCCTCAATGCAAGTCTGATCCGCATCTTCTCGACACCATTGCTACATACATGTATATACGAATTGTACTAAACCTCATTTGCATTATTTATTTACATCAGATGCTGCAAGCTTCACGGTTGCCCCAAGCAACGGGAATGCCACAATGTCCTGGAACCTATCTGGAACCGGCATCGGGGAGTTTACAGTATTTTTGTCTTCCTACCCGACCAAAAATATATTTCATGTGAAGAACAATGCCACGAAGATAGTCAGCGATGACTACAAGAACAAGATTCAACTATTCGCAAATAGGTCCTCATCCGGATCAGGAGTTTTTGGTTTTGAGCTGTTCAATGTGAGCTCGTGGGATGACGCTGGGGAATATGGTTGTTACCAAGGACCACCAGACTCAGGCGGTGCAGGAATTCCTGAATGTCGTCAGACCCTCATTGTTGTAGGTTAGTATATGTTACCGTTTTGATTTATTCACTTCATTTATCTTTATTTACTCGGCGGCTTGTAAATAATCGACCCACGTCGATTAGTTAACTGACGTTATAGGGTGAGTGAGATTAGTTTTACGAAACGTTTGGCAATATTCCAGCAATATTACGGCAGGGGAGACCAGAAATGGGCTTCACACATTGTACCCATGTGGGGAATCGAACCCGGGTCTTCGGCGTGACGAGCGAACGCTTTAACCACTAGGCTACCTCACCGCCTCAGCTGACGCTATGATATACGATTCACACGTGTGAAGTAAGATTATTTGTCATGTCAACGAGTCTGATCACTCAAGCCATTAAATATGGGCCTCTGGGGGTATCTCCGTCTTACCATCCTCAATACCGCCAGTGCTTTAACATAAATAAGAGCTGACACATGGTCAGACCCACCCGGGTTCTAATCCCGCTTCGTCCATACCATATATTGTTTTGTCATTACCATAACGTATCTCAAGTGCACCTCAATATCTGTCCGACCTCCTTTCTCCATACAAACTAACAAGATCCCTCCGGTGCGAGAAACATAATCTTCTGTGTATTCCTAAAGTCAGAATAGTTAAATTGGTCAAAGAACTTTCTCTTATGCTGCAGCCTCAGAGTGGAATCATCTCCCACAACATTTGAGAGAAATCACAGAACTTTCAACCTTTCGAACTTCGCTAAAGACCCACCTTTTCCAAAAAGCCTTTTCGCCCTGACATCAGCGCTTTGAGCATGCATTGTGCATGGAAATATGCGCTTATTATTATTATTAACTATTATTATGTTTTACAGGTTAAAGATAGTATGCAGCAGAGAGGGTTCGGGTGATCCTGGCACTATTGTTATTATTATTATTATCTGTGATCGTATATCATATCAAGGTGTTTAACGTCTTATACCAGCCTAACTTCGACCTTTTCTCCAGCAACAACCAGACACGCCATGATATAACTGAAATACTGTCTGGATCGGCATCAAACCAAACTCACTCACTCACACATTATGAAAATATCTTCCTGTTGCAGATCTGATTCAGGACCCATATCTCGTGGTCCCGGGGTCTGTAACAGACAGCGCACGCACCCTTCTACAATGCCTGACCTCCTTTCGAAGTCATCCAATAGGATATCGGCCCGAAATTTCTGTGACCTGGAGTAAGAACGGTAAGACGCTTGAGGGTAACTCTGGCTACACCATGACAGCTGACACTGGGATGTGGGACATGGAAGTGTATCACAACAGCACCCTAGATGTCAGAGATGTTGGACTCGAGGACGACGGAGCAAGATATTCATGCCAGGTTACCATTGGAGGCGAGATCCAGACAGACTGGAGTAAAGAGTATCTCCTTGGAACTAAGTGTAAGTATGGTAAATTGAATCCATATTTCATACACTAGAAAGAGTTCTTTCTGGTTCAGTTTCATTCAGCGGACTCCGGTATATTGAAGACCGGGTCAAATGAATTTGTCAAACACATTTTAGGGTCATCGTTGTTGGGAACACCATCGCCGAGTGATTCTAAGAGTTTGTTGTTTAACGTCTCACTCAGCAATAGTCCAGCTGTATGGCGGCGGTCTGTAAATAATCGGGTCTGGACCAGGGAATAAGCGTTAAAAAGCATGAACATCGATCTCTGACATGTGGCTCGCCACCCAATCCCTTCAGTCGCATATTACAATTCTAACCCCTGTCGTCACGGGTGGAGATGATAGAGGGTAATATGTTTACACACATATAACCCAGTTCGCACATGCTAAGTGGATAAAAGAAAATATTCTTAGGCCTAGAAAGTACTTGCGATTGGAGTAAATAGTACCACACAAACGTTGCAGTTTCAGAAGACGGGTCCAAGAACTACACTGCTGCTGAGGAAGGCGATGAGGCTATCTTGTCGTTATGGAACCTCAACATCAGCGACACCCTCTCCCTGTGGTCTCCTAAGCAGGCGGTTCTCTTCACCTTGGAATCGGCCAAAGTTAAGATATGGTCGAGCTACCGACCGAGAGTTAAGATCGGTGCTGTCATAGCTCCCAGTAAAGCTGTCCGAGCTATACTGGAGAATGTCACGGCGTCTGATGCTGGCCAGTATGTCTGTGGGAGAGGGGGCGATCAACGAGAAGGTCATGTTGCCCAAATGTGGACTGCTCTTAGTTGTGCTGAGTAAGTGTTACTTTTTAATACAGAGAGGCGTGAGGCGTGAGTGAGTGGATGCGTTGGTGAGTGAGTGAGTGGATGGATGCGTGTTGAGTGAGTGAGTGAGTGACTGAGTGGGTGATTGAGTCAGTGAGTAGATAGGTTGGTGAAAGAATGGTTGGATGCGTTGGTGAGTGAGTGAGTGAATGTGTTGGTGAATGAGTGGTTGGATGCGTTGGTGAGTGAGTGAGTCAATGGATGCGTTGGTGAGTGAGTGGATGCGTAGGTGAGTGAGTGAGTGGATGTGTTGGTGAATGAGATGTTGGGTGCGTTGGTGAATGAGTGGTTGGATGCGTTGCTGATTGAGTGAGTAAGTGAGTGGATGCGTTGGTGAGTGAGTGAGTGGCTGATTGAGTGATTGAGTGAGGTATTTCCGTTATCAGATGATCATTCCATATCGTGTCAGTGGCACGTATGGAACCCATGTAACCAAGATTGTTTAAAGATGGCGATTCGAAGTCACGTTCAATAGATCCTGGTACGTCGAAGGGAGACCACTCTGCACTTCGGCTTAAGAATCCCTGCGCCATACTATGGTCGTAGCTATCATCCGAATCGTGCACTATTCCTCCTTCCTTAATCTACGTCCACTGATATAGTCAAACACTGTTCAAAGTACCTGAAAACCCTTCTCATTCACATAGGGAAAAATATGTCAAAGTTGACCTGCAAGAGGTCATGCTACCCAGTACTCAAAACGAATAATTTGTCATATATAATGTTAATATTTTGATGTTGTTTTTTCAGGACAACCCGTGAAGCCTGTTGTTACAGTACCTGCACAGCCGGTCCCTGGACAGACTGTCACGGTTAACTGTTCCACCTTCTCAAGGAGTCTCCCGCTTACCCATCCACTGTCTATGTCCTTCTCGTGGTTTAAAGACGGCGCCTTGCTGGAGCAGGAAGAGAAGCATAGGGTACTGGGCTCGACACTGACCATCAGTGACGTCAACGCAGGAGATAGTGGAAGCTATAGCTGTCAAGCCAAGGAAGAAGATGGACTGGTGTCTGAGTTCAGCGAGGCCGAGTGGATGGGTATTCGAGGTAATTACCTGATTTAGTTTAGTCAGTTACCGGGACGGTGGGTAGCCTAATGGTTGAAACGTTCGCTCCTCGCGCCGAAGACCCGGGTAAAACTATACTCACTCACTCAGTCAGGTACCTGGTATCTTTCGAATGTCAGAAACTACGTTTATAACGAGCATGCGTATATCGAACTGATGGGTATAACGAACTTAATTTTGTGACCCCGTTGAGTTTGAGCGGTATAATCGAAGTTTACTGTACTGCATTGCGAGAAGATATTCAACGTTACTCATTTTCCTAACTTCATTTTTTTATAAATAACAGTCAGAAACATAATGTGAGTAATTCGAAAGCAGAACCGTTAAGACAGGAACCATTCGGTATTGCTAACAGACCTGTATATGGTTATATTTTTTAAACTGTTAAAAAATGGCTGCAGAATATATTTGTCCCATGTGCCAGACTAATTATTAGAATTATGCGCTTGTTTCAGCGTCTGGACATGGAGGGGAAGTAGCGAGCACCTCATCACATGATGGTAGTCAATTCCTTCCTTCAATTAGTCTCCCAGCTTAAAACTGTTAATTGGGGCGGTGGGGTAGCCTAATGGTTAAAGCGTTGGCTCGTCACGCTGAAGACCCGGGTTCGAATCCCCACATGGGTACAATGTGTGAAGCCCATTTCTGGTGTCCCCCGCGGTGATGTTGCTGGAATATTGCTAAAAGCGGCGTAAAACCAAACTCAGTCAGTCAGTAAAACTGTTAATTAATATCAATCACAGGTTTGCCTGGTCCAGATACGATTATTTGCCGCTGCCATATAGCTGGAATTGTGGGCAGCTTCAAAATACATAAATGGTCTTATCTGCTCAGGGGGCGGTGGGTAGCCTAGTGGTTAAAGCGTTCGCTCGTCACGCCGAAGACCCGGGTTCGATTTCTCACATGGGTCCAATGCGTGAAGTCAATATCGAGTGTCATCCGCTGTGATATTGTTAGAATATTACTAAAAGCGGCTTAAAATTTAACTCACTCACTTACTTATTTGCTCAGTTTTAATTATAGATGAGAGAAGTTAAGACTATCGTTGTCAATTTCGGGGGCATATATGACCCCAACGTCTAAAGCTTTGCAATTCGCTGTGCAGATTTATCTCCCTTGACCACAGCAAAAAGCAAATGATCTTGGGTTCTAATCCCGATTCGCCCAATAAAGTTGGTCATCACAACGTATAAACTGACACAGGGGCGGTGGGGTAGCCTAATGGTTAAAGCGTTGGCTCGTCACGCCGAAGACCCGGGTTCGAATCCCCACATGGGCACAATGTGTGAAGCCCATTTCTGGTTTCCCCCGCCGTGATGTTGCTGGAATATTGCTAAAAGCGGCGTAACTATAAACTGACACAACGTGAACGAACCGAAAATGTTTAGTTCAAACTTTCGTTATGCCAGGGGCGGTGGGGTAGTCCAATTGTTAAAGCGTCCCCTAAAGACCCGGGTTCGATTCCCCACATGGGAACAATGTCTTAAGTCCATTTGTGGTGTCCCCAGATATTGCTGGAATATTGCTAGAAGCGGCGTCAAACTTCACTCACTCACTCACTCAAGTCAAACTGAGTCACTCATTGTCAAGTTTAGTGGCAGGTTTTGATGTTCTGAATTGCTTGAGGACATGCTACTTGGATCCACTTGTTTGTCGTTCTATTTCCATGGGAACAAGTAAACAGAACACAGCAGTTCTCGGGGAAAGAGATGCAGACGTGACCCGTCAATACTGGTAATAAGGAAATAGGTTATAATTGTCAAGTAGTTTCGACCCAACCCGTAACATGTCAACTACAGCCATTGTTTGAAAGCAACGTGTTTAAGCACACTCTTAAAACTGAGTGTCGCAAGGTTTCGGTGAACGTATATAATGATAAGTTTTATGATACATAATGATAATTATATACAATCATTATACAAAATGACATGAATAATAGACCATTTGTTGACAAATTCAATGCATACATTTCGAGAGAATCTCAGTCATAGACTAATGCTTAGTCTCTGAATATATATAATTTTGATAGTAACAAACAAGCCCATTTATATTGAAAAGGAGCCCCAGGGAGACCAGAGATTCAGACTTGAACCTGAGGAAATCTAGACTTGCTTTATTTAGGGCTTTAGCACTGCAGAGAGAGCTTGGCAGTGGGGAAAATAATGTGGTTCAGGGACTGCGAGACAGACTATCTCAGTTACTACAAAGCGACATTTTGACAGTATCAGTATTTGTCAGTAGCTTTTGCGCCCTGTTATGTTTAACTCTTTATTTTAGATGTAATGGGCAGTTAGGTAGCCTTGGGGTTAAAGCTATTATTGTAGGGATATTGCTAAATGCGGCGTAAAAATGGTGCACTCACGTGGACGTGGATGCTGGGGTTCATATAGACTTACACTTAGTCCCTGAATATATAAATGAGGAAATGTATGGAAGTGAACGCCGCCAGTATATGGAACACATATTATATTTTGCTTCTTCATCAGATGAATGAGTGAGTGAGTGAGTTTAGTTTTACTCTGCACTCAGCAATATTACAGTACATGGCGGTGGTCTGTTAATAAGCGAGTCTACAACAGACAATCCAGTGATCAACAGCATGAGCATCGATCCACGCAATCGATGACACGATGATACGATGACATGTCTCAACCAAGTCAGCGAGCCTGACCACCTGATCCCGTTAGTCGCCCCTTACGACCTGCACGGTTTGCTAAACACCAGACCGCCTCCGTGGTGTAGTGGTTAGAGCGTCCGCCCGGAGAGCGGAAGGTCGCGGGTTCGATCCCCGGCCGCGTCATACCAAGAGACGTTAAAATATGGTACTTGTTGGTCCCTGCCTGGCGCTCGGCATTAATGGGTACAACAAGGACTGGTCGGCTCGGAGTCAGTATAATGTGTCTGAATGGGATATTCAAGCTTCACTGCGACATGGTATCTCAGTGGGCTAGCACTATAAAACCAGCTTAAGTCTGGGCTAGTACAAGCAGCCGCACATACATACACACACGCATGCACGTCGTCATATGAGCGAAATATTCTCAAGCACGACGTTAAACCCTCTTTCACCTCACCGCTAAAGACCAATTCTAACCAGGATCTTAGATCAGATGAATTTGTGCCCATTCGCTAGAGCAAGGACAAAATGGAAGCCAGGAGTAAATTACTGATGATAGTGAGTGAGTAACTAAATGAGTGAGGATGGTTTTACGCCACCTTTAGCAATATTCCAGCATTATTACTGCGGGGGACACAGTGTATCCATGTGGGGAATCGAACATGGGTCTTCGGCGTGACGAGCGAACGCTTTAACCACTACACCACCGCCCAGTCATGAGACTCGCATTATACCCATGTGGGGTTCCATGGAATATCCTCCTCAAATTTGAGTTCCTTATAACAAAGACGTGGACATGCATAAATTTTCCATGGTATTCAAACCACGTCTCAACGCCATTCGAAGTTGTGTTACAGTTGTAGCGCAGAACAGCAATACGGAAATGTCTTTATATTTCAGTTCATGTGACCCATGAAGGTCCGAGTTAGAATATTGATCTTCAGTAACCCATGCTTGTCGTAAGAGGCCACAAACGGGATCGGGTGGTCAGGCTCGCTGACTTGGTTGACACATGTGCTCATGCTGTTGATCACTGGATTGTCTGGTCCAGACTCGATCATTAACAGACCGCCGCCATATAGCTGGAATATTGCTGAGTGCGGCGTAAAACTAAAGTCACTCACTCAGTTCATGTGCACATTCGTTTACTTGCAGGTGGTTATGCTGGTACGGCATCGGCTGTCGTCGTTGCTGTTGCTGTAGTTGCGATTGTCGTCACGGTCATCGTCTTCAAACTGAGAAAAAGACGTGAGTGTCTGTTGTTTCTTAAACCGTAAAACCGATAGAAATCTTGCAGCAAATGAGTGAGTTAGTTTAGTTTTACGCCGCTTTTTAGCAAAATTCTAGCAATATCATGGCGGGGGGGGGGGGGTGTGCACTACAAATAGGCTTCACACACATACCCATGTGGGGAATCATACCGGGGACTTCGGCGTGGCAAACGGACGCTTTAACCATAACGCTAACCTACCATCCCTGCAGCAAAAGACGTTTTAATGATCAATAAGGATATAGTAATGTGGTAATGTGAAACGTGTTGGCTTAAACTGGAATATTTTAAAATTTCAAACCGAAATGTTATCATGTATGTTATATCTATCTACATCTGTATTTCCTTTCCAGATCACAGCCGTCAGTTTGCCATCAGTGGGTCACCTGTATGTGAACCGGTGAACAGGCCCGAGGGGGGCATACCTGATCACGATACTTACTACAGCCCAGTCGAAATAAGACAAGATACAACTGAAAACTCGAATGAGAAGTGAAACGAAATCTGAACACTTAAAATGTGCTTATAATCCCCAGCAGATGTTTAGAAGCTTTTTCATTTGTTTGTTTGTTATTCAACAGCAGCATTCGAATCTGGACTAGACAATCCAATGATTAACGTCATGGATTAACATCATCAATCCAGTGATCAACAGCATGAGCATCCATCCATGCTTTTGGGATCACCTGATCCCGTTAGTCTCCTGTTAGGTCTTGCATTGGTCGGTGGAGACCAATTATATATTTTATATAATAAAGAATATGTACTATTCAAAAAATGGAATTAATAATATATTAATTGTTGACGTTCCGGGGTCGAAATGGATGAAAATTTATCATTTTGTGTGAAGTTGGCAGCTATGAATGTGGATTAGATGACCAATAATGGGAGTATGTTTTACACCGCCTTTAGCAATATTCCAGCAATATCACGGCGTGGGACACCAGAAATGGGCTTCACACATTGTACACGTGGGGAATCGAACCCGGGTCTTCGGCGTGACAAGCCAACGCTTTAACCACTAGGCTACACCACCGCCCCCAGTGTTGTCAGAAACAGACACAGTTCATTTTCGTCTCCAACATCGGCGGAGCGGAGGGGTAGCCTAGTGGTTAAAGCGTTCGTCGTCACACTGAGACCCGGGTTTGATTCCCTACATGTGTAAAAACCCGTTTCTGGTGTCCCCGCTGTGATATTGCTGGGATGTTGCTAAAAGCGGCGTAAAACTAAACTCACCCACTCACTCACCAAAATTGACGCTAGCAAGTATGCTTGGAAATGGCTGCAAGGTCGCCACTGTGTTACACACTTGTTGGTTCCTATTAACCAGTAATACCATTCAGTCCTGGTAACAGGTGTGCGTTGACTGTCCCTGACTTAGACCCACAGATTGAATATGCAATAAAACCTCGATTGAATGAAATCACACAATGTTATATAGACAATCGCAAAGTACGCACCATCACCAGAACTCGCACATCCTTACACGCCCACACGCGCTCACGCACACGTGCGCTCTCACACATAATCTTATCCAGGAAACATTATTTTTTAAAGATTTGATGGCGACTTACAGGAAACATTTAAGCTTGAAAAAAATGTATAGATGAGGAAATGAATATCTGGCGGAGCAATATGAATATCTCTTACATCTGCTATTAGCTGCTGAAGCAACGTCACATTCAAAAATGATTATTGTAACGTGATGCTCCCATGGTATGCCTTCCAGCTTATGTTTTGCTGAATCCCACCCCGCACCCCCACCCCCACACACTCCCCGACTGCAGTGAGATATCGGTCTTGGAGTAACACGGCAAGGATGTAAGTGAACACGGTCCACGTCACCCTAACGTAATACACACAATAACACTGTATAGTAATACTGCGTTAGTGTAATGAATATTCACTGACTCACATTTCGACCATCTAACGTCCTGCATAGCCAAACATTTCTCAACTTAATAACCATCCTTAAAAAGGATATATTAAGCCCTACGTAGGAGATAGTATGCCCTACGTAGGAGATAGTAAGTCCTACGTAGGAGATACTAAGTCCTACGTAGGAGATACTAAATCCTACGTAGGAGATACTAAGCCCTACGTAGGAGATACTAAGCCCTACGTAGGAGATACTAAGTCCTACGTAGGAGATACTAAGCCCTACGTAGGAGATACTAAGTCCTACGTAGGAGATATTAAGTCCTACGTAGGAGATAGTGACCCCCCATTTTATTTTCACCGTGGCCCTACTACGCTTCCGTAGAAAAGTACACGAGGAATTAATGACTGCTGATCGAAAAGAACGTGTGAATTTCCTTGTTTCCTCTTTTCAAGGAAACATTTCCTACTTATTTTATACTCCAGCAAAGTAAACAGTATTTGTGAAACAATATTTGTTAGAAAACAGTTTATGAGTTTATTAATCACAAATTACGTTTTGCCAAGTTTAGGCAAATGGTTTTATCACACATCTGCGTCCCGTGCAGGAGGATGTACAGCTTAGTATGTTACTGCGTTCACAGGTGGTGAACATTTGTTGACGTTAAGGGGAATAGGATATTTAAACTAGGACGTAAAGAGCATGACATTAAGTCTACATTACGCACTCACAATCAGCAGTATGGATCTTTGTTCGTCGGTTCCAAATGAAGTTCCGTGCTTCAAATACTCAATAACACCCGGAAATTGGCCAACACATGATGTTTATCTCCTAATTTCCGCCTCACTGTCTTGTTCCACGCATACAAACCGTAAATCAGACTGACCTTCAGAGCACTCCAAGTTTCCACGCTTGCATAAAGTAAGCATATTATCACTGGTATTTTTCTCTCGATCATTTGATGTCAATCTCAACGGCACATCGTATAATCAATCTCATCTCCATGGGGAGTATACAACTCTTGCAGCCACTAGGCGCACCGAGTTATTGTGGCTTTCTCATCCTAACGAGTACCCATTCACAGCTTGGAGGACTGGGACACATAGTAACAGTACTTTGATTATCCATAAAGTTTGTCTGTATATTACTCTCCAGCTTCTAAACAATGCCACTCAAAGAAATCATCAAAAGCGTGTACCCGTGAAACTGTCGTGCAAAATGTGCTGCTTGATGGAGCAAAATGTTAACATTAAAGTTCAAGTCAGTTTTGGCCAGTGAAGCCGTGTTCAGTAACGCGTGTGACCACCATGAGCACAAATGCCAGTTTCTACACGTCTTGGCATTGCCCAAATGCTCATTTAAAGTTGGTGTTGTGAAATGTTCTGCCATTCTCTCTGTAACATCTGCTCAAGGTCATCCAGAGTCTGGGGGTGAACATGGAGACCGTAAACACGACTTCCAATAATGTCCCAAACATGTTCAATGGGATTAAGATCAAGTGATCTTGCAGGCCAGTCCAATTGTGTGATGTTGTTGATCTAAACAACATCGTTAAACACTCTTTCTCGGGCAATATCATCCATGGACGGGCTTTATCATCCATAAAAATGAAAGTTAGGACCCGCTGGTTGTACCAGAGGAATGATTACAGGTAGGTTTACACCGATCAGGGTGCATGTGTGAAGAGTGGAGCACATTCATGCCACACATTTTGCATGTTGTTTCCGAGGGTGGTTGTGTTCGGGTGATGTTGTCAATGTTATCAGATAAATCAATTTGATATTTACTAAAGGTTATATATTCTTTGAATATTTACCGTTCAGTAACATGCCAGCAAAAAATCGCTATCAAGATTGATAAAGATATTACACTGATAATACTTGTTGCTTAATTTTTTGTGAGGAGTATAATTCACCCAGCTTAAACGACAGATATTTCATATATTGGCTGCTGATGATTTGGAGATTGTACGTGCGCTTTCAGACATGATTCGTGTTTCGAACATACCCGCCATGTTTTACCAGTGTCTCGGTAGTCTCAGACCTGCATGCCTGCCGACTGTTCTCCCATTACGGGATGACACGCTGCGATTTAACCGAAACAGCAAGGCGGAATAAGATCAGCCACCTTCAACAACATATTCAGTGCATTTTATTGCACGTGATGTTGTAATACGAAAAGAAGATGGCAAACTGCTTCGTTTTTTGTGCTTTTATTTTTTTTCCCCGCCCGCCCGCCCCTTATCAGCACCAGTTTGGAGATGAGAAACATACAAAAAATGTGGATGTTCTAATGCAGAAACCATACCCATGCCTGCTGAATGTTTTCAGTTCTCACAACGGCTACTATAGGACTGGAGGGCACCAATGTCACCCTGTCGTGGAATCTGCCAGATACCGGCATAAAAGCCTTCACTGTCATGTCCCCAAGCGCCCACAACATTTGTCTTTTTGAAGTGAAGGAGTTTGATCAAGTTCATCGATGTGATGGTGTGTACTCGTCAAGGGTTGCCTTCACGGGACGTTTGACATCAACCGGAGATGGCGTCTTCAGTTTCACTTTGACTGATGTCTCTATGAAAACTGACTCGGGTGATTACCGTTGTCACAAAGGTCCAGCAAGTCATGTGGGCACCATCATTGAGAACTGTGGACAGAGGCTTATTGTGTTTGGTGAGTTCAGTGTTGCCAGCTGAGCAGATATAGTCCATTTGGCTCAAGAGCGGACCGATGAATTGCAATCTAACTCGAAAACTAATAAACATAACATACTACGAAACGCTGATCATAATCAAAACATACCCACTTCATAAAAGTTGTTTCACAAACTATCATTAAAATATTGACACAGTTCACTATTTGTTACGAGGAGGAGTGCAGAGAAAGGGACAGCCGGGTGTGCGAGAAAGGATGAAGACGGCACAGCACAGGTTAATGAATCAATAACTTTGTCGGCACTTGTGCACGTGCTTCTCTGACACCTGGCTGTCCCTTTCTCTGCACTCCTCCCTCGTAACAAATAGTGAACTGTGTCAATATGTTAATGTTTGTTTGTCAAACAACTTTTATATTTTTAGGACAATAATTCTGCAAAAAGCTC